TTGAATTAAGTTTGCTGCCCATTCTGACCCCAAAACAGCTTTGTGGCTTTAACTTTGAGATAGCCCTTATCGATGTACCTCTTTCTCTGTGATTTATGTCAGTGGCAATTTTCCTGGTGCATTCTCTGGAGATAGTTCGCAGGAAAGTATTTGGTGGCTGATAAGATAGCGTTGTAAAGGCGGCCCGCTCCGCAGATAAGGACCATTACTGTTATTTGTTGAAAGACAAAGCCTCTCGCTGTCAGACAGACCTGTGAAAGCTGCTCGGAGAAAGCGGCTGGCCGCTGGAACCTCTGTAATTGTCTCACAAACTGAGCAGCACAAACATGGAGAACGGTCCTTAACCCTCCTCATGGGAAGTGAAATGAGAGTGTCTCTGCTGTGGAATCGTTGTGACACTGGTTTTCTCTTTGTTTTGTTGAGGTTGTTGTTGTTGTTCATTGTTCACTTTGATACAAAATGATTTATTTTATGAAACGGGTTGAATTCTCAGTTTGATTTAAATCACTGTATTAGATCAATCATGAGTTTAAGTGTTGCATTATGCATTAAGTTTTAATACATGTCAGGATATAATTATAATGTTTTCAGAATGTCTTTTACAGTTTCACATGTCAAAGTTTATAAGGCTGATATTTCTGACACTTTTTTTTAAACTAATTTATTACTTCAAAAATGGAAAATTGTTATTGTAGCAGTCTTGATAATCTTAAATATGGGGACACAACTTCATTTCATTTGTCTTTTGAGGAACTAATGATCTGAATTATTATCTAGAATAATCCCAGCTACACTCTAAAAAATGCTGGGTTGTTTCAACCCAATTTTGGGTCAAATACGGACTAACCCAACTGTTGGGTTAAATTTTGGTGACATTTTTAAATAAAATTTTTAACCCAACGGTTGGGTTAGTCCATATTTGACCCAAAATTGGGTTGAAACAACCCAGCATTTTTTAGAATGTAGTAATCTAAACGATCTGAACTGATATTGAAAGTGTAAAGAATAATTGCTAGTTTTGCTTCACAATGGACGCATTTTCTAATGCAGAGGACAGAAATGCATTAGCATTATTAAAGAAAATTACTGTATGTGTAGTGATGTGAATGACTTTATTAATGTTGTAAAAGTGAGCATCAACTATTGGTTGTGAAAATCGTTTTTTAAACATGCACTTATTTTGGAGAATGGGACTCTTTTGGAAATGCAATAGTTTTCTTCACTTTCTCACCTCTTTCCTGCTTTTTCTTTCCCTCTCTCTCCTTCACTTCTTCTGTTTTTATTCAGCACCACAGGCTCTGTGTGTACCCCAGTCAGCAGATATTCTCACAAAAAAAAGTTATAATTCATTTTTTTCCCCCATTCAGTTGGCGATAAGTTCCTTCCAGTTAATTAGAATCTTATGGGGGGATTAAAGCTTGCAATTATTATTATCTACAGAGAATTCATAATTAATATAAGTATATGGAAATGTCAGCGAGAAACCTGGAATTAAGCCAGAGATCATTTCCTAGTCAGCTTCAATTTCGAAGTCACCAGTTAGTAAAATTTCAGCACAAAAATGGTTTTCAGCTTCAGTTTGGCCTTTAACTTGAAATACTGTTGTTTAGTAACAATGCACTTTTGTTGAACTAATATAAAGAAGAGATGAAAGAAAAACTGGCGAGGTTCATATCTGATTGGTTGGGCTTCAGTTTTCTCAGATTCATAATCAAAGAGAGATCTGATTTGACTTACAAGGCGTATAGCTTTGGTTTGATGCCTAAAGTGAATTATTCTGTATATTTGAACTGGAAAAATAAAAATGGCATTAAAAAAAATTCTCACCCCTGTCACATGGCTTTTAATCATATGACTGTTTCACAGTCATTTTAGTATCAGCTGTATTTTGTTTCTGCCATAAATTATTTTTCTCTTACAATTTTAACTTTTTTCTTACAATTCAGACTTTTTTTTCAGAATTCTGAATTTATATCTCACAATTCTGTTTCTTGTTTCTGCCAAAGAATGAAAAATAAAGTTAACTGCGACTTTTCTTCTCAGAATTATGAGTTTATATCTCTAATTCAGAGTTCTCTTTTGAGTTAAAAAGCCAAATTTATAAAAATTTGTATCAAACCAGTTTTTTGAAACTCTAATTAGTGCTCTCTAATTGGGCTTGTTTTGTTTTAAAAATGAATACTTTTCTAAATAAAGTACTATTGAACATTGAAACAGAGTTCAACTTCATAGACATGTTTTTGTAATTCTTGCAAACCAATTAGGTAACATCTTTTGAATGTGAATATTCTGTAGAAACCATGAGAATCTGAAGTTCCCACCATGACTCATAATGACCTTAAATGTTCAACCTTGCCTCATTCCCATCCATAGATATATGAAGTTACTGCTAATTGTATCTTTTAAAAGGCAGTTGCACTCTCACCCCAGAAATGACCCACAGTGTAAAAGATGATATCCCATTATCTTAACGGCATAATGTGTTTCTTTTTATCCGCGTAGCGCTTTGGCAGGAGGACGGGGAATTACAAATTTGGTACACAGAGGATGTTTTGTGAACCCTGAAATTAAGACTGCCAAACTGTGTGCGAGATGTTCCTGTAAATTGTAAACTCATGCTTGTACATCTCTGCTAACGCTATTAGGACTAAGCTCTGCCATCTGTGTAGTGTTTTACAGTGAATGCATTTGAGTTTATTGATTTGTAGTCTGGAGTGTATCAAAGATGGAAAATGTAGGTGTATAAAGCAACCAAAATGTTTGGAGACTCTTTGGTGAGTCATTTCTGTTGTTCAGCACCGTTTGAACTCTAATGAATATGCTTGTATAGTAATTTTAGCAAGTATTTATATATAAAAGTAAACAGACTTTCAGAAATATGACAGTATAACTTTAGTAATTCTAATAGGATGGATATAAGAGCTACAGTTAGCCATTGCTTATTGAGATATTGACAGATAAATTGCTTGAGAGTGTCAAATAGAAGTAAATTTTGATATTTTTGAACTCGCTTTTGAAATTTTGATCATGTTAACAAGTGAGACAGATCAGCTAATAGCATAAGATATTAATTGAACTTATATTACAGATTTCCTCAAATCCATTACTAATATTCACTGATGTTAGTGCTGTCATTGGCCCAGCAAAAATATTGCCACTTACTCGATAATGTTATTTTTGTTAGTTTAACAAAAGTGATATTGCAAACACATTTTATGTAGGCTATATTTTACAGCATTAGTTGAGAGATTTATTTTGCCATGTACTGTACTTGATATATGTCCAAAATAATCTATACAGAATCGAATCAGAATTGAATTGTGAAATTTGTGTCAAAACCCAGGCCTACCTGTAATAACTCTTAATGAATTGCTATTTTTATTTTTGTAAGTGCAGTTATGAACAAAATCACTTAATTGTGATATCAAGAAATCTAACAAAAAAACTATTTCCAAGTTATTAAAAAAACTATAGCAATAAAAGTGTGTGTGTATACAGGAATAACAAAACAGGTTCCTTTTTCCTGTTGTTGTTGAAGCATTGGAATGGAAAGGCTGATGGATGTCAATCATACTTCAGAGATAGAATATTCTGGTACAACGCAGAATTGTTTGAGAACTATTATTCTTTTTGCCTGTCTACAGCCGGCTGTTTTGAGACTGACACTGATTTACCGAACCCACAAGCACAAGCAAACACCCACAAAGGATTGATTGATGGATTTGACCTTCATCCAGCATAAGCAAACTCATGCACACACAGTCTATCGGCATTGTGATTACTCACTCACGCTGGCAGCGGTGTGCTCTTGATGGCTAAACTCCTCCCCGGCTATTGCTCTTGAGTTTTTATCTCTCGGATGCCCATGGAACTAGACACCACACAAATACCATCATCATCACACTCTAAGACACTCGTTTTCCCTTAAGAATTAGCTTTAAACATAATAACACGCTGCAGAGGGGATTCTTAATAGCAAGTGTTCAGGTTTCATTATCTGAGATGGTGCCTGTAGGAAAGTGAGGGTGTAAAAAGATTAAAATATTTTTTTGTTTGGGTTGCAGGGGGTTTGTCTAGGACACACACTTACATCAATGCAGATGAGACTAGATTTCGAGCCAGTTTTTCCTATAGAATGTCTTTAATGGACTCTGAAGGTACGATTAAATAGCTGCACGTCGCCAAATCGCTGTATGGTCATATAGTTTTAGTTTTTTAATTGTAATTTAATTTTCTATTTTTCTGTTTTACTTTTAGACCATTCATCTCAATAGACCGGTTCCAACACATTGGACAACTTTTGTGTATAGATAAAACAATATATATATATATATTTTACTATAATATTTTATTTCATTGTATTTTAAAGAATGTATTATATTTTAATTTATTATTTTATATAAAATAAAATAATTGTATACAGAAATACGTTATATTTAATTTTATATAAAATAAACATACATTATTTCTGGACAGATAAGTAATGCTCTACTTGCCAAAATAAGTTTAAAATGCCTTATATAGATATAGTTCAACCAAAAATGAAAATTCTATTATAATTTACTCTTGTCGATCCAAACCTGTATGAATTCTTTTCTTCTGCTGAACACAAAAGAAGATATTTTAAAGAATGTGGCTAACCAAACAGTTGATGGTAGCCGTTGACTTCCATATTATTTTTTTTCAATACCATTGTAGCCAATGGCTGCCGTCAACTGTTTGGTTACCAACATTCTTTTGTGCTCAACAAAAGAAAGAAACTTATACATGTTTGGAACGACACAAGGGTGAGTAAATGATGACAGACTTCATTTTTGGGTGAACTATTCCTTTAAGTAGCTGAAAAGCAGTTAGATACTTTTTCAAAGGGTAGTTTGTCTGTATTTTAAATGCTATAAATAACGAGTAGCTTCCCCAACATAGGTGTGAGTGCCCACTGAATAGAGTTTGCTGTTTAGACTCCTGAAAAATGAATTTGTGATTCTTTGTGTATTTTGCAGCCCTATTGAGAGATCCCAGTCAGAGCATCATATCATTTATGAACTGCTGAAGGGAGTCCACAGTCTGACCTCGCAGCTGGGCTCGCAGGAGCTGAAACAGATTAGTACCGTCACCACTGCCGAGACCTGGGACCGCGGACAGATCAGTGAGATATATATATACACACACAGTCACACTCTTAAAGGAATAGAGCACATACGCTCTTAAAGGAAGAGTTCACCCAAAAATGAACATTTGCTGAAAATTTATGCCATCAAAGATGTAGATGAGTTTGTTTCTTCATCAGAACAGGTTTGGAGAAATTTAGCATTACACCACTTGCTCACCAATGGATCCTCTGCAGTGAATGGGTGCCTCTATCCATAATATTGCAGAAGCGATGGTTTAAAGTTAGAATGCCTTTATGATGGATTTTATTTATTTATTACAAACTCGCAAGATGCTAATTGATGGACTGGAGGCGTGTGGATTACTTGTGGGTTATTGTGATGTTTTTATCAGCTGTTTGGACTCTCATTCTGACGGCACCCATTCACTGCAGAGGATCCATTGCTGAGCAAGTAATGTAATGCTACATTTCTTCAAATCTGCTCTGATGAAGCAACTCATCTGCATCTTGGATAACCAAAGGTGAGTACATTTTCTACAAATTTTCATTTCTGGGTGAACTATTTTTTCAAACTTTAAGTTTAAAAAGTGAATTTGTAAGTTCACCTTAAAATTTAAATTCACTTAAGATTATGTCATTCAAAACCCATATGACTGTATTTTTTATGTACTGTAGAAGTGCATAAAGTAATTTTTTAAAAGAACATTCTAGCCATTAATTTCAGTTTGATGGAGGTGAAGGACAAATCAGCATCATTAATTTATCATAAAAGTAGTTCATATGACTCAATATTCACTATATTCAGAGGTTTCAGTAGTAGTACAATAGCTTTGTGTGAGAAACCAAATGAAATTTAAGTAGTTATTGCTTATGAGGTATTGTAAAGTGTTACCCATAAGTCTTGGTATATAACATAAGAGTAGCTGAACTAATGCTTTAAGAGTGTAGAAAATCACATAATAATGTTATGTGTCAGGGATTGTCTTATTCAAAGATAATTTCATCTATTATTTTTCATCCACCATTTGTGTTTTTGCACGATGCAAAAAATAAAAACACTCCACAACTCAATCGTGCTTCTTTAAAAGCTTACTATTTCTAGTTCAGCAGGTTTATCAGCTTCAGAACAGTTTATCCACGAATGAGAACATAATAGTGCTTATATACAGTATAGACTTCATGAACATGTCGTTACCCATAAGTCTTGGTATATAACATAAGAGTAGCTGAACTAATGCTTTAAGAGTGTAGAAAATCACATAATAATGTTATGTGTCAGGGATTGTCTTATTCAAAGATAATTTAATCTATCATTTTTCATCCACCATTTGTGTTTTTGCACGATGCAAAAAATAAAAACACTCCACAACTCAATCGTGCTTCTTTAAAAGCTTACTATTTCTAGTTCAGCAGGTTTATCAGCTTCAGAACAGTTGATCCACGAATGAGAACATAATAGTGCTTATATACAGTATAGACTTCATGAACATGTTTTTTTCTGGTGCAGAGTCTTGCAAAACATTTGGCTCAATCCCCAAAGAAGAAGATTCTCTCATCCAAAACTGTTAGTTCATATATTATATATCAGTGGCCTCATGCAACACAATCTATCAAGACAAATCGAACAGATCTTTCATTGGCATCATCTTTCAGTCTCGCCTGTGAATATTGTCAAGTGTTTGGATGTGTTTCTAAAAGGTTGAGAGCCCAACCTGGCATGCGTGATTTTCTATCGATGTGTTCATTCGTCTGCTAATCTGTGCTCAATAACAGCCACGTATTCTTTCAGGGCCACTAAGCAAAAACATAAAGGAAAGACAATTTGATGAAAGCATGAATCCGTGCCTCCACACCGATGGTTGCCGTTTTGCAAATGTCTGGTGTTTTGGAGATGGAGATTTCTTTATTGATTCGTCTAGAAGGGCGGTAATGGCTGTGGTGTGTTGTATGTCACAGATGGAGGGGGGAAGGGCTTCGTTATAGACGCAAGTTTTAGCTGCAGATGATTACAGAGCATAAACTGTGATTTGCTGTCTGGACCAGGCTGAAAAGTTTGCGTGTGAGGAGTGAGAGATGTTGTGGAGTGTTATTACTAGTGTATGGAGAGTTTGCTTTCAGAGAGCAGTTTTCATCTCATTCAAATCTTTGTGTCAAGGTGATTTATTTGTCTGAAGATATAGATATGACTGAAGGATATACAGCTCATTTAATAATGTGTGTGAAAATTCCTTAAAAGAATAAGTATATCTATGTGTGTATATATGAAAGCGTAAGCTTGTTTGGAGGATTTTTTATCAAAGAAATATGAGAGTATAGTGCTTTTTTAAGGAATAGTTCATCCAAAAATAAATTTGTTATTATTAACTTAAAATCTGCATTTTTGCAGACTGTCTTGATCACACTTTTGAATACTGTCAAGCTCCAAAAAGTTATATAAATAAAATCATAAGTGCATAAAAAAGCATAAAATTGGTAGCATTGTTTACAGTATATACTATTAAAGTGTATCTAGTAATATTTAAAATTATTTGTTGAAATTTCAGTAATTTAGGTATGTGGTTTTGTCATTTTTATTAGTTATGAGTTTTTTTCAATATTTCTATTTATTTTTATTTCAGTTTTAGTAATAGTACTTTATATTAAACTTAATCTTTCTGTTGCCTGCCAATGCAACCTTTCTATATATATATTTTTTTTAAATAAAAGTAGTTTTAATAGTTTTAGTTAACCATAATTATTCAAGGTCATTGGAAACTGTACAATGAACATATGTGAGAAAATTTGAAATTTAAGACATTTGGAGTGACATATTGTAATGTTGAGTAAATGATGAAAGAGTAAACATTTTTGGGTGAACTTTCCCTTTACACGTGAAATTCACTGCTCCACAGAGAACCATTCATTTAAATGCAGTTGTTTGGATTTATTTCACAGTCGAAATGCAAGAATTATCTCAATCTTTTAGAACCCATCAGCATGCATCCATTTATGCATATGCTCTTACTTAGGATGAGATGGGCTCCAGTGACTTTATGCCTAGTATTGCTTTACTTTTTAAATCTTTGTAATGTGTAGAATCTTATTCTGCATGTGCATTTTTTCTCTACATAACAGGAACAGCGATAAGATTTAATAGTCAGTCTCTTGCCCACCTGCATAATGGGGTCAAGCGTTTTGATCTGAAACAGCTGAACCGTAACTGAACCGTGAGTGGAGGGTTTTCTAATCGAGTGTGTCTTCTGCCATATTTATCTCTCTTTCTCTTTCTCTGATTACAGTTTTCGGACATAATGGATTTTACCTCGTTCTGAAGGGCTCAGTGAAACCGTTCAACCATGAAACCCTTAAAGAGGATCAGACAGTCTCTACGGTATAAATGATGCTACTTGGTTATCAGTTGTTGAGTTTAAATTGGCCTTTTACTTTGCCTAACATTAAAAACATTACCATTCCTATCATGGCAATTGTTGCTGACGAGCATAATCTCTTTTGGTCTTTTCTAATGTACAGTTAAGACCCGTTCACAGCAAGAATGAAAACTATAATGATAACTATATTAGCATCCACACCGATTGATGATTAATGGCACTGCTGTAGTCCAGATTTTGTAGTGCACACTTTAAAGTTGGGTGAATTTTAGAGTCTTTAGAGTGAATCATTTGGATTGACTTGGTAAATTAATTCCACTTAACGTGTAGGTTTAAACTGATTCCACTTAACATAATTTCTTGACATAATGGTCACAGTTGCTCAAAATAGGCCTTTATTACTTAAGAATTTTGTATAATAGTTATGTTACGTGCATGATTCAACCGTTTCTTTAAAAATATTTTATTCACATATTTAATATTATAATTATTTTATCATAATATGAATACATTAGTAATACATTATTTATATTAGGATCAAGTCTGAGAATTCGATGACAACATAATTATAATAATATTTAATATTAATATTGATTAATATATTAATTGAGAATATAATGTATTCATATTTAACATTATTATAATGTAATCTTAATATTAATACTTTATTATCAATATATTATTATTGGGATTAACTCTGAGCATTAGATGATAACAAAGATAATCTAAATGATTAATATTGAATATAAATATTTTTTATTAACAATAAAATTCATTAATATGTAATATTATAACAATCCAAACCTAATATTAATAGTTTATTATTATTATATTATACGTTATTAATATTAGGATTAACTCGGAGCATTAGATGCTACAATAATCATCTAAATAATCATCTAAAAAAAAGCAGAGGAAACGAATATGCACAATTAAATTCTGAATTACTGGTTATTATCCGAAACTGGAAAAAAGAAAAAAAAAGATAAAAACTTTGATATCGGCCAAAAACAGTATGGTACAGATATATTGTGCATCCTTTACTTGGTGTCCTAAAATGATTCCACCATTAAAGTGGTCATTAGACGTTGCTAAAAAGAACATTATTTGGTGTAATGAAATGTATTTATGCGGTTAAAAAAAAAACATTATTTTCCACATACTGTACATTATTGTTTCTCTTCTATGCCCCGCCTTTCTGAAACACGTCGATTTTTACAACGCTCATCGTTCTGAAAAGCGAGGTGTGCTCTGATTGGCCAGCTATCCACTGCGTTGTGATTGGCCGAATACTTCAAGCGTGTGACGGAAATGTTACACCCCTACCATACTGTGATGCCGTGTCCCAGAGCGACGAGACAAAACCAGTAAAACCCATTATAAACGAGGCATTTGTTGCATCCAGTGGGGACATAATTACTGATTATAATGACTTATACTGTCTTTTTACGCGTAGCGTTGCATTGCGTAAACATAAAACCATGTCTGCATTTGTGATCGGAGAAATGACAAACATCAAGCGCTACTCTACACTGCTCAAAACTCGCGTTTGAATCATCAGTGGCAAATCCTTTAAATATGAACACGTACTTACAGTCTGTGAGTCAGAACAGCCGGCATTGTAGTCTACTCTTCCAGGATCAGGAAACAGTCCTCTGTAAAATGCGTTGCACAAACACGAATATTTGGATTGAACTGTTCTGGAACAGTGCTGTAAATACAACTTAACTACTGATTTCTAGTTGTGTCCTCTTTTGGAAGGCCAAACAAAGTATTTTCGCTTTCACACCGAAACACACAGTGCCTTCACGACATGGCGGCGGCGGCAACAATACTACAGCGAGAATCAAAGTTACGCCTTCTTCTTTGCGTGAACATTTGCGCGGTGTTATGCAAATCTTCCCACACAGTGACGTAGACATGTGGGGGCGTGTTTAAATGAGGCGTTTTAGGAGGGCGTGGACGAGTCATAACTTTTATAAAGAATATCTCTTTGGGTTTGAGACTTTAGTCTTTGCTACTTTAGAGATCTTATCTATTCACGAACAGCTTGTAACACTCCAAAGTGAAAGGAAAACCTGAAATGGCATCATATGACCCCTTTAAGACAATTTCCTCTATTGTTATTTGTAGGACATCCTGGCACAGGATCATGAAGTTAAAGTGTCTTTGATCCAGGGTTGCCAGCTGTACCTTCACTGGCCAAAACTTTCCATCAACCACCTGGTCGATGGCATGCTGCTAAAAACATTCCCTGCTAATCAAGGTAAGAGGGTGTCTTGATTGAATATGTGTTGTCACAATGAATCACGGCGGCGTCTCACGCACTTTAGTTTAGTTTTGTTCCGTTGACTGATGCTTAGCACCTGGACAGCATAATGGTTTTCCTCACTTAGTGCGACACTCAACACGTTTGCCCCTAAATAAATGTGTTTATGGGTGGAGAGCTCTCGAATATGATTAGAGAAAAATACAAGCTGCTCCATTACCCACACAGCTGACTTTAATTAGCAGGACAGCTGCTTTTACACCTCATTTGGGAAATATTGAAGCCTAGATATTTATTTAGGTGCATATGTTTATGTGTGTGTCATTGCAGGAGTGTCCAACGACTATTGCAGCTCTGATTTTACTAATGTTGAGCTTTAGTACGCAGGAAAAGAAAGGTGTTATCTATTTTATGGACATGAATAGAACTGAATTGAACACAAAGTCTGGTGCGACTACCCTTTTAGCCTGTTCAATCTCACTTCCTGTCCTGGAGCTGACAGGCGGGCATATGGTGTGCTGTGGTTGCGCTGAGATATTGGGTGGAGATCCGCTATCATGGCTGAAATCTTTATTTAGTTGCTGGAATCTCTTCTCTTCCGTGGCTCCCTCCAATTATAAGTCTTCATTCGTATCTTCCTCTTTAATGAAAGGCGTTGGCTTTTAAGTCCATATGTTTTCCTTAAAGACACTTTTAAGTGAGATCAATCCATGCTAGACCAGATCTTCGAACATGTGCGTACAATTAAATACAAAAATGGTTGACAGATTAGTTCACTGAAATGTATTCAAACTTTTGATACAGTATGTCAATCTGAAACCACACATTTGAAAATTTGACCTTTTAAATTATTTATTGCCTGACTCTTATATATTTCAAATGAACACATATCTATAATATATATATATATATATATATATATTATATATATATATATATATAATGTGTGTGTGTGTGTGTGTGTGTATTAATATCAAATATTTTATATGTTGTGTTAAATAGACACATATATGTAATGTAATATTTTTTTATAAAATTCTGTGTTTTCCATTCATTTTCTGGATTCCATTTTAATAATTTAATTCCATTTTAATAATCAAAAGCATCTCTAATTAATTGATTTCATAAATAATTAATTAATGTATTTATTTGTATATTTATTTTTAAAGAAATACTTAAAACTTGAGTATTTACATTTGTCTGGTAAATATTCCTTGTAAAATTATGTTTACTAATAATTTTAATAACAGTAGTATCATTACATTAAGTAATGTATTTCTGTCACAGTTTCTTCAAGTTAAGCCAACATTTTATTTTGACTGGTTGCTGCTTTGTATATGATATGACGAAAGTTTTTCTCAAAAGAAGTGGTAAATACTCATGGAGTGACTCTCGGAGCAGTTCTAGAGATTATGTTCATGTGTTAATGAGACCGCAGATGATAAAAACACAGTGAACGTCACGTGCGCTTCAATATGTGTGTAGTAAACAAAACCTCGTCTGCACCATTCATTCACACAGAGACACGCAGAACATGCAGGATTTATATTTAAGTAGTATTTTTGTGGCTTAATATTCACAGACACTAGTCTATATTGCATTTTGATTACTTGCCCATCTATGAGTAAACGAGACCCAATGTGCTGGCGCTGGGGTTTTGTTCTTTGCAGAATGAAACCTGGGTGTATGTATGAGCACTGACAGTTTATCCTGCTCAGCTGAGGGTTAGGCTCTCATATCATAGCTGCTCTTTATCAGAGAGACAGAGAGAGAGAGACCTATGGATCGAGATGTGATTAGAGAGAAAGACAGGTGTGTGGGAGGGGAGATTGATTGGCTCTTATCTGAGTGTGCAGCCGACAGCTGATGGATGGGCGAGAGCCCTGATCATTTCAGATGGCAGAGGGGTGGCTATTCTTGAACCAACTTCATCAGGAAACGCTGTATTTCCTCCAACAGCCGTCATCAACATGGTCAGTTGGCATAAAACAAGTATTTTAGGAAAGAATACACTAGGGCTGTCAATTGATTACAGATTAATCTTAAATAAATACATGCTGATTCATTAAATTAAATAACTGTGAATAATGGCATGTCAATATTCGCTGAGAAAAGCCTAAAATTAATATAATTCAAAGACATTGTTGTGGCAGATGAGTAATTAATTGACAGACTTTAAAAAGTGGCTCTAGAATTCAATAAATTGAAATTTTTGGCTGTTGCTTTATGCCTCATTCTTCTTCATTGTCTCATGCCAAGTTAAAAAAAAAAATTTAAAGTTAAAAATTAAAAAAAAGAAAACTTGAATTTTGTTGTAATAGGTTATATTTTTATATTACTATTAATAATTTTGTATTTGTTTAACATTTTGTTGAATAGTATTATTAGTATCATTTTTTATATTTATTACATTATTTTTCTATATTTATTTGTAATCAAACATACTAAATTCTATTAGATTGATAGCCCTAAAATAAACATATTTGTCATCATACTACAATGCACTTGTGTGGTATGAGCCATTCTTTAGTAATATTTTATATTTTAGTCTTATTTAGTTTTTCATAGATCAAGGTATGGTTAAAACTCAATGGAGGCACTGTTTGTAGAGTCTTGTGTGATTTTGTGTGTGTGTGTGGGGTGGGGGTCCTGGTATTTCCTACATTATGGGGACCAAATATCCCCACAAGTATAGTAATACCAGTACATTTTGACCTTGTGAGGAAATTTTTAGTCCCCATGAGGAAACAAGCTTATAAATCGTACAGAATGATCTTTTTTGAAAATCTGAAATAATAAAGTTTTGTGTGAGTGTGATGGGCAGGTTTAGGGGTAGGGTTAGTTTAAGTGGATCGAAAATACAGTGTTTGTACTGGAAGCTCAACTTGTGTGTGTGTGTGTGTGTGTGTGTGTGTGTTTGGAGGTAATGGCGTATTGTGAAGTCCTGCCTTCTGTGCTTACGTTGCACACAATTCAGCACCTTGGATAGCAGCACAACATGTGAACACAACTAACAGGTGTGACAATGACGATAACTCATGTGAATATGATGGACTCATTGAGTGCTAGCCCCAGTCCCAGTTCGGAGATTAGTAAGAGGAGGAAAACCCTAATGGCTTTTCCATTTGTATGACTCCTTATGGACCAAACTTGACCGCCTAACAACCCGTGACCGCCCTGCCTCACCAAAGCCACTGTCCTCATTTGAACTTCCTCCTGACCGTGATGCATATCCCAACAGCCTTGATCCAGAGACCACTTCACTTCCCTTCGGCTGTCCTTAGCTGTAAACTTCAAACCATTAACACTTTCCTTTCCATTACTCACCGGCGCATTTTAATTAAGTTGAAAACTGTAAGATTAAAAAATATTATTACAACTTAAAATAACTGTTTCTATTTTAATATTTTTTAAAATTTAATTTATTTCTGTGGTGCAAAGATTAATTTTCAGCATCATTACTCCAGTCTTCAGTGTCACATGATCCTTTTGCTGCTTAATATTTTTCTGGAAACCACAATACATTTTTCAAGATTCTTTGATGAATAGAAACAGCATTTATTTGAAATAGAAATTTTTTGTAACGTTATACATGTCTTTACTGTCACTTTTGATTAATTTAATGCATCTTTGCTTAATAAAAGTATTCAATTATTTTTTTTATGATAAAATTAATACTTAATTTTTTCTTTAAATGATACATGTGTTGTTGCATAATACATTTCTATAAAAACAATACAATATTTATTATATTGTTCAGAATCCTTTGTCATCTTACACCGTTTTGTTTCTGTAGTAAATATGTTTCGTTTGAAAGATATTTACATATTTTTCTGGAAGCAAGTGAATAAAATGGCGTTAATCATTTGAGTCATATTAGGGCCACTACAGAATGTATTTTTTGTTGTAAAGAGGACAATGATTTGGAGAGAAGAACATTTACTGGGCATGATGGGCACAGTGTGAACAGATGTTTGATGCATCTCCACACTAATTACAGTTGCATCATCTGATTTTGGCTCACTGCAAGAAAGGTCTCAGTTGTCATTCTCCCTCCTTCTCCAGTCTTTTTCTGTTTCTCCAAACATGTCACTGAAGATCAGAAGTGATGTCCCTGCTCCATTAGTTCACCAGTCTGTGGGCTACTCAAGACGTCTCAGTTTGCCCCTCCAGAGACATGAGCTGTAAACGCGAATATCTTCGGTTCTCCAGCAGGATTATGCCAAACAAAAGCCTGTTGTCTCCAGCGCTGGCCTGCGTCACCCCGCGACCACAGCTGTCCTGTTCTCATTCACTCTGGCCTGGACTGCCACCTCTAGGCTATGAATCCAGTCTGGTCGAGGTTTTTCTAGCCATCTTACTTTCTATCATGTTCCATGGCTGGACTTGCAGTCCAAATATCCAGTCCAGCATGACTGTTTTTGATTATCTGAGCAGATGTTTACTGATCTGTTACTGTTTGGCACACCCAGCCAGACAGAATATGGCGTCAATGTTTATGGTAACATTTAACCACCCAGAACAAGAAATTCATTTCTTTCTTTAATAGAGATCTTCTGCCATTCTGTCTTCAGTGCCTTAATGAATTTTGAATGGTAGTTTGTATAATATATACATTTTGAGTGTGTATATATATATATATATGTTTTCTATATACTTTCAGGGCTGGTTCACACACAATGATTTTTTTTTTCATTCAACTTTGCTACTTTTCCATTGCCATTCTGTCTTCAGTGCCTTAATGAATTTTGAATGGTAGTTTGTATAATATATACATTTTGAGTGTGTATATATATATATGTTTTCTATATACTTTCAGGGCTGGTTCACACACAATGATTTTTTTTTTCATTCAACTTTGCTAGTTTTCCATTGTTTTTTTCTACGTAAACTTGCTAGGTGGTCATCTTCGACCATTGCGCTTCCCTCTCCCGTCTTTTGCAACATCTCACACATGACTTCTAAGTTAAAAGAAGTTTATCTTTTAAAAAACATCTCGAGACCTTGCATTTTTTCTCCCCATTCCATTGCAGACGTCTTGTGTTCTTGTGCATTACCAATCTCATACAGGGGCTTGTAGACAACCCTGTATTATTCGTTCTTTCTCTTCTTCTTCAGATTCAGTTTCTGGTTCTAACATATATGGCTGAAGTAATCCGATATTGGCACTTGTCATTGTGAAGTGTTTCCTACTTCTGTTAAGCATGTGAAAGTGAAGCAGGTCCAAGCTGGTGTGATTGATGGGAGGTGGGACTAATTTGCATATTCCACATATGTGACCCTGGACCACAAAACCAGTCTTAAGTCGCTGGGGTATATTTGTAGCAATAGCCAACAGTACGGTGTATGGGTCAAAATTATCGATTTTTCATTTATGCCAAAAATCATTAGAATATTAAGTAAAGATCATGTTCCATGAAGATATTCTGTACATTTCTTACCGTAAATATATCAAAACTTAATTTTTGATTAGTAATATGCATTGCTAAACTTCATGTGGACAACTTTAAAGGCAAATTTTCTCAATATTTAGATTTTTTTGCACCCTCAGATTCCAGATTTTCAAATAGTTGTGTATCGGCCAAATATTGCCCTTTCAGATGATGTATAAATCTCAATTTCAAAAAAGTGACCCTTATGACTGGTTTTGTGGTCCAGGGCCACATATACTGAATGAGATAAGAGTGTAGAGTTATATTCAATCCATCATAAGGCATGCAGAAACTATTTTCACAGGGACATTTTTTTTTTAAATACATCATTTTGATTATCCAGGGTTTCTGCAGGTCTTAAGAAGGTCTTAAAAAGTGTAATTCGCCCTTCCACGAATTAAGTCCTAAAAAGGTCTCAAATTCATAAGGTCCTAAAAAGTCCTAAATTCATAAGATTATGGCATTCAGTGATGCCTGCACTGCAAAAATGAATATCTTCCTCTGTATTTTTGTTTTGTTTTCCAATGCAAACATATAAACATCCTTAAATCAAGGTACATTTACTTAAGATGCAAATTGAACATTAAGTCGTCTCTTCTGAGAAATTGAACAAAATTAAGTGAGTTTATGTGTGAAACAAGAGCTTACTGGTAGATATTTTATATTTTAATCATAAACTCTCTTCATTTTGATTATGATTACCTTTTCGTCTTATCGTATCTTGTCTTAAGAATCTTTAAACAGTTTGCACTGGAAAACGGGACAAACTACTGAAGAAGAGGGTTTTGCTATTTCCATTTTCCATATTTTAGTGTTTGGGAACAGCAATTTAATCCATATATATATAATATAATTTTTTTTTTTTTTTTGTGAAATAAAAATAATAATGGATATCTTCTGGAAGTTGTATTTTCAAACTTTGAAGCTTTTGCTTATACAAGACATTTACATTTAGAGAACATATTGACATATTGTGTTCCATTCTATTTATTCCTTCGAGTTTTCTTTTTTAACTTAGTCTCAAAAAACTCTTGAAAAGTATTACATTTACAGTCATAAAAAAATAGTTTTAAGGGATAAAATTAGTGACTGAAGTGGGACTTGCATAGAAAATGCATCGAACTCAATATCTTCAAAGGGTATATGGACCATTGATAATGAACTGAGAAAATAAACCACTATGAATATTTCTCACACTCCATTAAACTGTACTTTGCATTATTTCTTAATAAAATCTATAGTTTGGTTCTAATCACTATGAGATTTTTCAAGTAATATTGCTAAAGCAGATTGAAAATCTACCGTTGGAGGAGTATCGCTATGTAAGAGTAACATTTTTATGCTGTTCCATGGCGCTAATTGTGTTGTGCAGTACAGAAATGCAGAACTCTGGATGTTAATGCCCTGCGGGAGTAGGCGTGACTGCGGTGTGTTCATCTAAGAAGACAAACGACGTGTACCAGAGCCTGCTGTGATTTCCCAAGTGATCCAGACATTTGCTTTTTAATGGCTTGCGAAGACATGCGGAGCGGGCGAATAATATACTAACGATAGTTTTGCTCTGAAAAGATGGAGAGTGTGAGAGATGAGATTAAAACTGGCTTTTGAAACACGACTTCCTCCTGCCTCTAACGCTTCTGAAGCGGAGGCCCGGCTTCTGTCACCGGCCAGACAAATGGACTCTGCTTGTCCCGCTCGCTGCTTCACAGAGATGGGATTTACCTGTCAAGGCTGATATACAGTGTTTCCCCCTGATGTTAAAGGCTCACTGTAAATCAATTTAATCCTCACCTCCACAAACCAACCCCAGGTTTGTCACAATAAGAAATAATCCAGCGCTTTTGGGGCTGCTGCCAAAACATAGATTACTTTTGTCGTAAACAGTCCACTTTTTTTTTCTCAATCTCTCCTGCCTGGGTCACTTCTGGTCTACATTCAGATGCATTTATTATGGCGGGGAATGCCTTGCTTTTGTGTGGCACCTGATGCAATGAGCGACAAACAATTGAAACATTGATTTATATAAACAGAGTTCAGAACGAAATACTAGTGGACTGATTGCTGAAAAAAATGTTGTACGTAAAATAGTTTTCATTATTACTCTGATTACATTGTATGTTTCATTCAGCAAATAGTATCCAGATATCACCTCTTTTTTTTACCAATTTTCCATAAAAATTTCTTTTGGAGATACAGTCCAATAATGAAGTAAGAAAAATATATAAAAATTTTAGGTTGATATTGGTTAATTTATCTATAGAATTGGAAGATCAAATATATTATAATACTTTATAATACAAACCTACTTTTTCACATCTACAATGCTGTTTAAAAGTTTTGGGGTTAGTAAGTTTTATTAAAAAAATTACTATATTCAATTCATTTATATTGATATTTTTATTTCAAATAATGCTGTTCTTTTGAACTTTCTATTTACAAAAGAATCCTGAAAAAAAGTATATATATATATATATATATATATATATATATATATATATATAT